AAAAAAAAAAAAAAAAAAAAAAGGTTTCCTCCAGGTTCCTTGCAACATGTAGCTTGAGGTCTCTGTCCTTTGAGTCCTTAAGGTGATGGAGTGAGTCATCGTGACCACCCCGAGGAAGATGGAACATGGACAATCCAGCCTTTCCGACTTGTATGCTCATAAAAAAAGTGTCCATCGCTGGTAAGCTTCCAAGCTGGATCTGTGCCTTTCTTTTCAAGGACCTATGAGTTTTTTTCTGTCCTCCAAAATACCATTCATTGATTTTTTTTTTTTCATTTTGACCAACAGTCTTGTTTGTGAGCTTTATGCTAAAAAGGAAAATCTTCCAGTTAACAAGTACTTACTGAGTACCTAGGCTAGGCCACCTACCATGCTAAGCACCGGGGAGAGAAGGGCAAACACAGAGACTGTCCTGGCACTCACTCACGCAACAGATATTAAGAGTCAGCAACGTGGCAGCGTGGCAGGGGCTGTCCAGGTGTTAAGATTCAATGTCGAATCCTTAATGGGGACAGCATCAGCCCCGAGGGGGCAAAAATTCATTTTTTTTTTTTTTGAGACAGAGTCTCACTGTATCACCCAGGCCAGGCTGGAGTGCAGTAGCGCAATCTCAGCTCACTGCAACCTCCACCTCCCAGGTTCAAGCAATCCTCCTGCCTCAGCCTCCAGAAAAGCTGGGACTACAGGCGTGCACTGCCACACCTGGCTAATTTTTGTATTCTTAATTTAGACAGGGTTTTACTATATTGGCCAGGCTAGTCTGGAACTCCTGACCTCAGGTGATCCGCCCTCCCAAATTGGAGGGAGCACCCGCACCTGGCCAAAACTTCATTCTTTTATGTTTAAAGCAACAGACGTATCTTCATAGACGTGGAGACACACACACACACACACACACACACACACACACACCCCTATCACACACACACACACACACACACACACACACACACACACACACCCCTATCTGTAAAAGGGTGAAGGGGTTAGAAAAAAACCTCTAAGAATTCTCAGGGGGTGAGGTTGATAATTAAAGAAAGGTTGGGAAACACAGAGTTAGCTCGATGAAGAGCCTGGCTTACAGTCCTGGGCCTTTTGTTTTGTTTTTTGTTTTGTTTTGTTTTTTGGAGACCGGGTCTTGCTCTGTGGTCCAGGCTGTAGTGCAATGGCGCAATCTCAGTTCACTGCAATCCCCAGGCTCAAGTGATCCTCCCACCTCAGCCTCCCAAAGTGCTGGGGTTTCAGGCACGAGCCACCCCGGCCTCTTTTTTTTTTTTTTTTTTAAAGTAAATACACATAATGATTAAATAATAATTTTGTGCCCAGTGTTTGGAGGACAAAATCCCCTGGCCTGAGCTGAGCATATGTCACAGGGACCCCGTCACCCCCAGTTCAAGCTCCAGGAGAGGCCTCCCTGAGTGCGGGATGTTTAAACCCAGACCGGGGGCGGTGTGGGAGTGGGCAGGGGGCTTCCTACAGCCCAGGCGTGCCATTTCCTGAAGCAGCCACCCCAGGATGGCCTGAGTCCATTCACACCTGGGTGTCGCTATTTAAATGACTGGCTTCTATCCATGCCTTCCCATTCTAAGGGTGAGGCACCTGGTTCCAAATAAGCGGAATCTGTGCATTTCACGTTCTCCAGTCCCAGGTCAGCCGTCCAGGCTGCCTTCTGCTGCCCCATCCCTTGTCACTTCAAAAAGAGAACCAAAGCCCCTTCCGTGGTGCTTCCCATCCCATGCTCCTGGCAGCCCTGGAGCTGGGGCCCTGGGGACCCGGGACTCTCACAAACTCCCTGGCTCCAACTCTGACAGCCAGCTCCACGCAGGGTCAGGGCACTGGCATTTGGAAACCACCCACAGTCAGCAATTTTATTGAAAATCAAATGAAAAGGAATAAAAGTAAGGGTTGTTTAGGGAGAAGCCTTTTGAGTTTGCTGTTTTCTTTTTCCCTGGGCATTCGGACAAATATGTGGGCTGGTATGAGACTGACTGACCCTTTCTTGCCCTGAAACAATCTTGAATGCAGAGTCTCAAAACGCATTTGAGGTGCCCGTCAGCCACTGTCACGGGCCTCAGGAGGTGATTTTTTTTTTTTTTTTTTTTTTTTTTTTTATACACTGTTTTCTTTTTTT